GACGGTTCTCACTTTTAGTTGTACGAGTTCCACTGGTGACAAGAAGGAGATCTTTGTCACAATCACCGATGCCTGTCCATCCGGCTATTCGCAATGCCGAGATGGGACGTGTGTGTCCTCCTCCTCGTTCTGTGATGGAAAAGTGGACTGTCAAGACAGATCAGATGAGGATTCTCAATTCTGTGGGGGTAAGATCTGGCCTCATTCCTCATATTTATTCTCCAAAGTCAGTTAGTAAAGTGGATCATTCATTTTCTCAAAAACACTTTAGATATAGTCATAGTCTTTCGCACTTGAGGCGCTCTACTATTTTAATATTTAATCAATACTTGAGGCATCCCTTCGGTCTGTTTTTTAGAAGACTCAACTCCGACTATCACAATCGTTCCCGGGAACATCACGACAGTACCATGGAAAAGTTTTGAATTCATTTGTGTCTCTCGAGCAGGCACTTTGGCAACTGCAGTATTCCAGCGTAATGGCAAGCCAGTCGATGCAGATCCACGGTTCAGTGTCGTCCGTCTGAATGACACCGCAGTGCGTGTTACTGCCCCGCGGGGTCTTCGGGACATTGATGATGTCGCTGTTGTGTAAGCTTGCTTTCCTCTAAAGGAGGGTGCATTTCATGTTTTTGAAGGCTAAATCCACTGCCACATTTACCTATGAGAGGGAATTGGAAGAAATTAATCCTACTGAAATGATATAGCAGTAGTATGACTTGTTAATTTGACAACCCTTTCAGGCGCGTTTCATTTCTACGGAAACAAAACCTTACCTCCCTGAATTTTGGAACTTTTAGAAAAACAAATATTTCCACAAAATCGTAAACGATAAATCTTAATGCTCCGAAGAAAATGCTAATCGGTGAGTTTCCAGCATAATCGCTGTCTGAGTCGAAGCCTCCGCGGTGAATTTTGGTTGGCTGGCTGTGTTTCATAATCAAGTAGCGCGCATTGTCTGTTTTCACGCGCAGATTTCGCTCGATGTCTCCTCCGAGCGTTTTTCGTAGCATATAGAGTTAGGATTAGGACATGGAAAAAGGTACGCCCTGGGCATCAACGAAGGATTCCTTGTAATGCGGGACGTACCTATTTCCATGTCCAACCGGTATAGGTTCACGTTCAAAAACCTCAGTGAAGCTGAAAATTGTATCTATCACCTATCAGGATTTGTGAGCACCGAGGGAAGGGTATGATAACTAGTCAAGCCAAAAGAAGAGGCATTTGGGAACTGCTATGCTGGCACTGTACACAGTTCGCTTCTACGTATTTTTTATTTATCAGAGAATGACTTTATTTTTCACCGAGAGAATATCAAACATAAACTTCTTTTTGAGGCAGCATAGGGTCATAGCCTTGTTTCGATTCTCTGAAACGGAGAAAGGAGAAGACATACTGCCGAATTCATAGGATACTTGCAAGTCCTCATGGTACACACGGCTTCTTAAGAAAGACAATATGTTACTGTTGTAGCAGTTGCGTAGAATATCATGTCATCAATCCCCCTTATATTAAATGATTGATTTGGAAGTTATACAATTCTAGAGGACTTCGGCAGACGGTTAACCGATTTCAAAATAACTGTCGATTGAGAAGCAGGCCTATTTCGTTGATATAATCTACAGTAGGTGACATATCTGATGAAAGGTTTAGGAGTGGGGGATTTAAC